TCTGAAAATGTTTAGGTTAGCTTTTTGTGACATTGATTTGGCTCCTTGCCTTTCCATTCCTGGCTCCTGACATTCTTCAGCAGATCCAGCATGTGCCATCTTTTATAGTTTTCTCTTTTTGTATTTGCCCTTTTTTCTACCTGGAACCCCTGTGTCTAAATGAATTTCCATTCAGTCTTAAAAGACTCAGCTCATGTTTCATCTCTATTATTCAGTTTTTTACGGTCAAGAGCAGTGGACCTTTGGTAACTCATTACATTTATTAAATGAGTAAAATCAAGTAACATGTTCAGCACTCAGTGTTTTATAAATATAGGTATTACTAATACACTGTTTCTGTATCATAAGAGTACCTCCTTAAGGCCATAGATATGCCATGTCTGGTCCATCTTTGTACTTTTTAGTGCTTAGCAGATAGGCGATTAGTAAATATCTGACTGACTGAATATTTTCCAGCAGGTTCTAAATGGTATAGTAATAATTCATATTGAGGGAGGAGGGGTATGTATGTATATTTATAACTTTTTTAAAATGCTTTATTGAGATACAATTTGCCTTGTATAAAACTCACCTATTTTAAGTGTACAATTCAGTGATTTTTAGTAAATTTTCAGAGTTGTACAAACACTGCCACAATCCAGTTTTGGAACATATCTCATCACCCCACAAAAGATCTTGTACCAGATTAATTTTTTAAATTTTTATTTCTTTTGTTTTTTTGTGGTATTACCTAAGTAATATATTGTATACCTCATTAGAGCAAAAAAGGTGTTTAATCTGTAAAATTTAGCACAGTGATAGACACACAATAATTGTTAATTTTCAAAACTGAATTTTTTAGATAAAATAGCATTCTGTGTTCTATAAGATTTTTTTTTAAATTTTTGACAATGTCATGTCTGCTTTTGTCTGAGCTTAAAAGTTTATATTGTATTACAAGCAAAGAAATATAGAAATCCCGGGCCATCTGTTTGAACTCTCCTCTTTCACTCAGTGCTTTATCTGCCTCTTCCTCCCCATTTACGGCCTTTGTCCTTTACATAGCTCTTTGGCCTATAAATAAGCCTTCAGCCAGTTTGGCATAGCCTTTTGGAATTCTAATTGACAGCTTACTGTATCAGTGTAGGTCATGTGAATTCACAACTATTATATTCACATGTGATATATAAAACCTTTGCTATTTAAGATTAGAAAAGACTTAGAAAAAGCAGTCTTATATACCTCTTGCATAGGACCCTAGAGAAAAATTTTTTTTAAAAAGAAGTCGTTGATAAGAGGGAGTTATGAGTTGAAAATGTCTGAATATGTGATACCACTTTAAAGGCATTTGTTTTTTGCAAGAAAAAACAGGGGTGAAAATGCTGCTGAGCTAGTGCATAGAATGGCTTTCTGCTGAAAATTGAAATGTCATTCAATTTTCTCTTTACCTTGGAGGTAATAGCGTTTTTTCAAAAGAAGAGAACTCTTCCCTTTTTGCTCTCTATTAAAGAGATTGTCAAATCTCCTACTTTGCAAGTTAAGTTTCTGTGAATAGTTATGTCATAACTACAGTGTTAAATTGGTTTGATAAACCCTTTATTAATAGTTCCAAGTTATCAGAAACTCCAAACTTAATAAATAAGATGTACTGTAACGGGGAAAAAATTGGTGTATATAAAATATATTTAACAGTAGTTGTTTTGGGTTTATTTAATAGGTTGCTTTAGCAGGAAGTTAAAACCCATGTAATACCATAATCCTGTTTCTTTGGATGGAGTTACTAATAAAAACTTTAATTCTCAGACTAAAAATATCTCTGTCTTTTAGAAATCTACCTTTTATTGAACAGTCTTATAAGTAGTATATTTTACCAATTTTATTTTCTGTGTGAAACGTTTTTTGTTATTGTTGTTTTATATTGTGATACAATGCAAACCTCTTTGGGTATAGCTTTTGCTTTAGTATTAACCCTAGGCTCTAAAATTGGCTTGGACTCTTATTTGACTGTAAGACTTCTGGGGGACAATATGGCTTAGTAGTTAATTGGCTTGTATGAGACTGTAAATTCTAATCCTGGCTATCCTACTTTCCTACCTATGTGACCTTGGCCAAGTAACTTAACTCCTCTAAATCTCAGTTTCCTTATTTGTAAAAAATAATAATATATATACACATATATATTGCAAATAAGAATATATATATTTCTTCTTAGCTCTTAAGATTATAATCATCAAATTATAATGAATGTTGAAACTCTTACTGTAATACTTGTTTGATCATTTTTATACACTTTGCAGCCTATTTATCAGGTTTGGTTTTTTTTTGTTTTTTTTTTTTTAATGAGTCTTGATATTTTTTAAATCCCTCCTGAACCAGAGCATCACTTAATGATAGAATGAGTTGGTTTGGTCAAAAATTGAAGTGAAGATTTCTGTACATATAAAATTACCCAGTACATCTTGAGAAGGAATAACAGTGAATCCAAGGAGTTTAACTCTGGAGTCCATCTTTTTAGGAGTTGCTGTATGGGAAGGCTTGCTTAAAACCTTTCACTCAGTTGGTTAAGAGCTTTGTCCCCATATGCCGAGGTTGTGGGTTCCATCCCTGGTCAGGGAACATACAAGAACCAACCAATGAATACATAAATATATGGAACAAGAAATCAATGTCTGTTTCTTTCTCTTCCTCTCTCTCTCTCAATCAATTTAAAATCATTTTTAAAACTTAATAGGCCTATGGCAAAACTAACCCTCCATGACCTGCTCAGCGAGGAATTTACAATCAGGTCAACTGTAAAGTTACTTTCTATAGAACCCCCTTTTTCCTCCACAGGAGGAAATGAGGTGGGAAGATTGAGTGGACTTAACCCATTGTAATGAATAGTGTTTTACTCCAAAGTAGAGAGCCACAGGATGGTTTTGAACAGGAGTGGAATGTGATACGACTGACTTTAGAAAGGGGTTCTTTACTGAGTCCTTCCTCCTGTGGAGTCTGTGTGTACAATTTAGGCATGCCTGGGAAGTTAGAAAAAATTACATCGTCATTTTTACTAACTTCTAACTAAAATAGTATTCCCTTTTGTTGACAATCAACATTTAAACCTGTAGAGAATTTTATAAGTTTATTTGAGCCAAATAAACTGATGACAGTTGCCAGGAAGCAAGATCTCAGATGCTCTGGAGAGGGACAGTTTTGCAGTTTCTTTTATGTATTGGCAGTTAAGGGAATGCAAGGAAGATTACAGGAAGGTGAAAGAAAGGAAGGCAGTTATTGGATTACAGCATAATTAAGGTTATGTGCCTTTTTGAAGGTGGTCACGCCTCTTCTGAAAAGAGGTATTTGAAAGGTGTGTTTAGCCTAGATGCACAGAAACAATTTTTGCTTAAGACAGAGATAAACCTTTTACTAAAAAAGTTACATGGCTCAGGTGTGATGACCCACCAGGACCTGCCCAGTTTGGAATTTATGATGAGATCATCCTGAGAAGGTATCCATTGATTTCACCAGGCTCCCAAAGGAGTCTACTGCTCACAAAAAAAAAAAACAAGATTCCCTGTGAGGGTTCCTTTGGTTGCTATGATAAGAATGGACTGGGGAGGAAGATGGAAAGAAAGAGTGAAAGGAGGAAGTTGAACCAATAGTATTTGCTAACAGATTTAATGTGTGCGAGAAAAAAGAAGAATCAAAGATGGCTCCATGATTTTTGGTCTGTGCAACTGGAAGGATGGAGTTGCCATTTGCTGAAATTTTCTTTGAAATTGTTAATAGATCTGTACTATTGGATATACCATAAAAATTGTAAACAGTAATATAAGGCTTATAAAAATATAAAAGTTACAAAGATTAAAGGACCTGTAATCTGCCCTAGCTGGTGTGGTTCAGTGGATTGAGCACTGGCCTGCAGACCGAAAGGTTGTTGGTTCACTTCCCAGTCAGGGCACGTGCCTCAGTTGTGGGCCAGGTTCCTGCTTGGGGGGGGAGGGGGGGGTGAGATGTTATTAATGTTTCTCTCTCATTTTCTCCCTCCCCTCCTTTCTAAAAATAAGGAAATAAAATACCTTAAAATACCTAATAAAATACCTGTGGGTTAAAAAGAACCCACAATCTTATTCCACATATAAACTATATGAGATGAAATAGAGTATGTATATTTGTTAAAGATCAAAAGTTTGGTTTTGGACATAAATTGAGGTACTCGTTAGACACCTAAGTAAAAACTTGTTGCCTTGCTCTTTCCACTTACTATGCCTTGGAATGTGCAGTCATTAGAAAGACTGAGGTGAACTATACATGGAAAGAGTTTGAACTTGTATTGTTTGTGAACACTTGAATGTTTTATAGTGAACATATATTCATCCACATGTTAGGTGACTCTAAAATGTGAAGACCTTGTTTAAAAATATGAGAATGGTTACAGTACATAATAGAACAATTATGTGGTCATTAGGAAGAATGAGGTTGCTCTGTATATACCACCATGGAAGAGCTCTAAAAATTTACAGATGAGGTGGAAGTGAGGAGAATAGAATACATGGATAAGTGTGTCAGAATCATAGTGAATCTAACGGTGTTTACATTTAGAAAGAGACTGGATAGGCAAGAGGGCTCCCCACCTTTTTTCCTAAAGCAGTTAATTTACTCTCCTTGTACATGTATTACTTTTTAGCTTGTCACATTTCATATGGGGGAGGAGTGAGATCATGGATTCTTTTATTCTTTGTGTCTTTGTACTTTTATAATTCTTCTGTTACAGTTTTTTAAATTTTGTGATATATCTGGTACTATGGATATATTGATAACTTCAAAGACATTTTCAATATTTGAGAATATGAGTGTGAAATGAAAATAGCAAATTTTCTATATAATATAATAAGGTCTTTATTATGAGTCAGATATTACACGTTCAGATATGACTAGAAGAAAAGATAAGGAGATGTACTTCAAAATGTTAATAGTGGTCTTCTCTGGATCATTGAATTTGAGGTGATATTTTTAAAATATTTTTCTTTAATTTCTTGTAGACTATGAGAAGACAACGAAATGAGGTTGTAGTTGAATTAAGGAAGGTAAGTCTGATTAATAATGGATACTTCTAAGCAGCATTCTAATAACATAGCATGTATAGAAGATATCGAATGTATATAACTCTCAAGTGATTAGTATTTCTTTTTCTTTTGAAAACTGGAAGATTTTAACTAAATTTGACAAGCTTTTGAAGTTGTCAGAATACAACTTCATGATTATCAAAAAACAGAAAAACAAGTTATTAGGTGTTTTTTTCCTTCTGTAATTTTTAGTGATACATATAAATGGTAAGTCATAAGTATAGTTATGCTAAATAGTTCTATTTACAGTAGTAGTTACCCTGAAAGGAACCTGTTACTTACAAATTTCATCAACTTTTCAAGTATTAAAGTAGTTGAGAATATATTTTTGAATTTGTCCCAAAGATTTTTAGTGAAATTCAAGTGGCCCTTGATTTTTGTAAGGCAGTGTTGCTTTCTGTCTGCTTTTTGAAATACCCAACCTTTGCTTTGACTTTTTTTTTAGGTGATAAAGAGAAGCTCTCAGAAGATGTATAAAATGATTTCGTACTTTTAAATAAATATGGATGTTTGATTCTGGCTTAAACTGTATACTTTTTTTTTAATCAAATTTTTCTGGTTTTTAATTTGTTTTTGCATAGTTCACAGTTTATTCAAAATGTAATATTTGGCACTCAAATTAATGTTGCTTAAGTGTTTAATTCACAATTTGGTTTAATTTTCTGCATTTGCATTTTATTTTAAGGCACTTCGTATTTCAGTTTGTAGGCACAGGATAGCCTAAATACTTTGTATGAAAGTATTTAGTTTTATTTAGTTAAAGTTCTTTTTTTTTTCTTAAGAATAAAAGAGATGAACATCTCTTAAAGAGAAGGAACGTACCACATGAAGATATCTGTGAAGATTCTGATATAGATGGTGATTATAGAGTGGTAAGTTATTGTTGTTTTGGTGACTTAAAACTACCAGTGAAAAGTTTACATAAATATGGAATTTTATGGTGACTTTTTAACTTAGTTTTCTCTTTAACTGTTTTCCCAGCAAAATACCTCTCTAGAAGCTATTGTTCAAGTAAGTTCAGTTATTTTTTTCCTCTCTTCATTATATTTCTTGGACTTCACTGATTATTGTGTATCTATATCAAAACTTTTATTTTTTTATAGAATGCTTCAAGTGATAACCAAGGAATTCAATTAAGTGCAGTTCAAGCTGCTAGGTAAGTTAAATATTGAGGATTTATTTAACTTTTATAGCTTATATAGGAAGGAGTTCTGTTTTAGGGTTTCACTATATTCTGGTCTTGACACTCATTAAACTTGGATGACAAACAATACAGAATAGTCAGAAACCAACTGATTTATTTAAGTTATCCTCTGATTTAGAGTATTAAAATTGGCAGCAGTGTTCTAAACTCACAAATACATTGAAGCACAGATGCTAGGGAAAAGTCGATTTGACAGGTTATTGCTATAGACTAATTGGAAAGCGTTATTTAAAAAGTTTTACCTTTCACTGATTAATAGGTTTAGTTTAATAAAAGCTTAGATTGTTCAGATCCTGCCCAGGTAGCTGATTCTTACAATCCTCATATTGATCAAATAATAAATTGGGTTAAAAACTTAATGTAGGGGGATCTAAGATGGCGTCAGTGTAGGAAGGAGCAGATTTGGCTTCCCTCTGCACAGGGGAGAAAATCCTGGCCGATCTGTGGAGTAGAGAAGCAAAAACTTAATGTAACAGTGTATCGGCAAGTAGACATTAAGATTTAGGACTACAAACATTCCCACTTTCTTTTAAGGTAGGAATACTGAGTAATTTTGTATATTTCTGTTGTACAACCTATGCTCTCTATTTTATTTATTTATTTTTTTAATATGGAGAGACTTTTTAAAAACATTTTTTAAAGATTTATTTATTCATTCATTTATAGACAAAGGGGAAGGGAGGAAGAAAGAGAGGGAAAGAAACATCAGTGTGTGGTTGCCTCTCACACACCCCCAACTGGGGACCTGGCCTGCAACCCAGGCATGTGTCCTGACTCGGAATTGAACTGGCCACTCTTTGGTTCGCAGGCCGGTGCTTAATCCACAGAGCCACACCAGCCAGGGCTGCTCTCATATTTTAAGGGAAGAACCATAAAAACTTACTACTGAGATCTTTGTGTTAAAAGATAGTTTGGGGATGACATGGTTGTATCATATACAATATAGTGGTTGCTTTGTATATTTATAAATATAAGAATAACACCCTGTGTTGTGATTTGGAGTAGGAAAGGCTTAAGCAAAAAATCGATCCTACTTAGAGAATTTCAAACGTGGAATTATGGAATTAGAGTATTTAGCCCACTGCAGATAATAGAACTTCGTAGAGAGGACCCTGTTTTGTAGAAAGAAAATCACAGAAATTTTCACACCTCAAATTGGCAAACTAATGTTTATAGGAAGAATGATTAAGAAATTGATACATTATGCTTACCATTATCAGAACTGATTATTTTATAGTTTTGGAGTAATTCTTCTCAATGTGAGTTCTATATGAGTTCTGCAACACAATTAAATCCCTAAGGCAGGGGGGTTCTCAATCTCCCTAGGAGATCCTGAGACAATTTCAGGAGGTATACAATATCAAACCTATTTTCACAATAATTCTAAGACCTCATTTGCCCTTTCTCACTATGTTAATATTTACACTGATATTACAGAAGCAACTGTGGGTAACTGCTGGCAACTGCTGGCAACTTAGCACAGATTGACTGTGGCACAAAACTGATTTTACAGGTATTATTTACAGGTATTATTACAGGTATTATTATTATTTTGTAGATACTGCTTGTACTATTATGCACTCAAAAGAGTTTCTCTTTGAGAATGTCTTCAATGAAGTAGTACAGAAAATTTTTTTTCAAGATTTTATTTATTTATTTTTAGAGAGAGGGGAAGGGAGGGAAAAAAGAGGGGGAGTGAAACATCAGTGTGTGGTTGCCTCTAGTGTACCCCTACTGGGGACATGGCCTGCAACCCAGGTGTGTGCCCTGACTGGGAATCAAACCTGCAATGCTTTGGTTTACAGGCTTGTGCTCAATCCACTGAGCTACACCAGCCAGGGCTTTAAAAGGGGAAAAAAAAATTTTTAAGATGAAATCTTGTACCTCAACTAAGAAAGACTGGATTATTTTTTAGTTTGTGCTAAGAATTGTGCCATGTGTTACAGAAAATACTGTGAAAGGGCATGTGGCATAATTCTTGCCCTATAAGAATTTTAGAGCTTGATTAGGAAGGCAAAACTATGTAAAATAGTGATACTTAACAGCAAACATAAACATGTTCTATGTAAATATTCTATTAGTAATTCAGAGAATTTAGAATTCAGAAAGGTTACTGTGAAAACATAGAATTTGAAGTGGGCTTTGAATACGTAGAGTTTGAATAGACAGAAAAGAAGGCATCTCAAGGGCACAGAATACAATGTAAAGGGCCTGAAAGTGCCATTGAAATGGTGGGACAGAGAACTGACCTTTTGTTGAATTACAGAGAGTAATATTAGTTAGCTGAAATGAAGCCAACTTTTGGAGTGATTTAAAGCTAGGTATAGGAATTTGCATTGATAAGGTAGTAAATAAATACCATAGGCATCACTTGGTTTATATAGGGGTATGATCTCATTAAGTTTTCTTGAATATTTAATTATTATATTGGTGCACAGGATTTAAATGGGTGATTTGGATTAGGCCACACTGAGGGCTTTGTCTACCACTTGTTGTAAATAGGCACCAAGTTTTATTGTTTTACCCTCTAAGTGCAATGAAAGCAAGATGTATCTGTCTTGTTCACCTTAATATCTCCAATATCTCTTTGGATATTTTTCTATGTATTGCTGTTCCTTAGAGGATGTTGTTGAGCTTATATGACCTTTGACTTGGTGTATACCGTAGGATGAAATACTGGATACTAGTATCAACTATACACTTGTATCAGCAGCCTACCTGCTTTTGTCCTTTTATCTATCGCTATTGTGACCTGGGATGGATAATTTGGGATATTTTGGTGACCTCTTAATTCCTTTGTTAGCAAGGTAAATAACATGATGAAGGATTCTGGCCACTTTTTTTCTCCGATCTCAAAATTAAGTCTAAAGGTAACACAAAAAACAGTTGTCTTTTTGTGTCATATTTGGGACTTTATCGAGGGAATAATATTACAGTACTAGTTAAAAAAGCAGTAAGGTGGTTAGGTCTACCATATTTTCCTAATTATTAATCTATAAATTAATACTTTAAACAGAGAAATGGTTATATTATATAAATTTAAAAAGTAGCTTTTCAGAGAGTATTTGTGCCAAACATTCAGACTTATTATGATCTTTATATCAAATATGAATTTGAATTTAATTATCATATAATTAATGTGACTAAGTTTCACAGGGGATGTGTATATCTCTTATAGGAAGCTGTTGTCCAGTGATCGAAATCCACCAATTGATGACTTAATAAAATCTGGAATATTGCCTATTTTAGTCCATTGTCTTGAAAGAGATGACAAGTAAGTACATTATTTTAAGAAATCATTTAAGATGTATGTTTTGCAGAAGATAAGATTTTCTAGTAATTAGTTTGGTCCTTAAATTAAAAAAAAAAAAAAAAGACCTACTAAATGGAGTTGAAAAGACAAAGTAGAAAACAATGCAAAGTGTGTTGATACCAGGAGATGAAAGTGTATTGATAGAGGAGCTTGAGAATGACACATGTCATTCTTAACTTTTAAACTTTGAACTTTTAAACTTTGAAAACTGGCAAAAAATAGTTTGGCCAGATAGGTACTTGAGAAAACTGTTGGGGTAGTAATGTGCAGGTATCTTACTAAAGAGTTCTTACTAAAATATAAGGATACCTGATTAGGTTGTATGCCTTTTACACTGAAGAGAAATTTTAAATAGTCATTGGAAGTTTAACAGATGTTCTGGATGCATAGATACCTCTTGAAACAAACTATTCAGTGTTTTTATAATGCTCTAGAAGGGAGGAAGGGTTCATAGATATTTGGGCCAATGTAAAGTTCCTTTTGTTTAAAATTATTTGTTTTTTGTAGTCCTTCTTTACAGTTTGAAGCTGCATGGGCTTTGACAAACATTGCGTCTGGAACCTCCGAACAAACTCAAGCAGTAGTTCAGTCCAGTAAGTTGGTTAACAGACAAAATTGTGATAACTTTTTTAAAGATACTAGTAAAAATAGTCATTCTACTGAAAAGAATAAAATTTTATACCATAAAAAATAGCTATTCAATAAGACAGTTGAGACAGGCCAACTTAGGTATGTTACTTGGATCATCTGTACCAATAAATGGCATTTTCTATTTCCAAAAATTCATTTGACTCAAAATGACATTTCCTAATTATAGTAGCAGATTACATTATTGTAATTATAGTTTATTGTCAGACATTATAGAAATAAAGGTGTTTTTCCCATACTGCCTCTGGGCCTGTTTTAATGATATTTCTATCACACGTTTCAGAGAAATCTTCTTTTGTAAGGTAGTCCTGTTCAAAGGATAACTTCACATTTTTTTTTCATTGTTTTATAATAAGATTGTTTTTCTTTATTGTTTCAAGAAGTAAGAAATCATTATTGGAAGTAATAACCTGAGTGTTTTGTTTTTTGTTTGTGGGTTTTGTTTTTGTTTTTGTTTTTGTTTTCATAAATACTACTTGATTCTTCTACCAAAGAAATAATTTTTTTATGTAACTGCCAGAACTTAATTTTAAAGAAGATATACTTTTTTTTTAAATCATTTCTTTTTAAGATTTTATTGGTTTATTTTTAGAGAGGGAAGGGAGGGAGGGAGAGACAGAGAGAGAGACAGACAGACAGACAGAGAGACAGAGACATCAATGTGTGGTTGCTGGGGTTTATGGCCTGCAACCCAGGAATGTACCCTGGCTGGGAATTGAACCTGGGACACTTTAGTTCCCAGCCTGCGCTCAATCCACTGAGCTACACCAGCCAGGGCTAAGAAGATATACTTTTAAAATTCTTTTTTAGTGTATAAACTTTTACACTTGTCTGAACTTGTTAAAATCTTAGGCACCAATTTCTACATGATTTTAAAGGGGAACAAAACTGTTATCCGAGTAAGCATTTCATTGTAGACACTTGTAATATTATATAGAAAGAATATTCAGTAATCACATTAAGTCTTAATAAAACTGGTTTAATGTTGTTGGGTTCAGATAGTATTATTTTTGTCCTTTTAGGGGTTTTGTTAATGTTTTGTATAGTTGACTATTCAGTAATTTTTAAAAAGATTTTATTTATTTATTTTTAGAGAGGGAAAGGGGGGAAGACAGAGAGGGAGAAAAATATCATTGTGTGAGAAAAAGATTGGTAGGTTGCCTCTCGAATGCCCCCAACTGGGGACCTGGCCTGCAACCCAAGTATGTGTCCTGACTGGGAATCAAATCAGCAACATTTCAGTTCGTAGGCCAGTGCTCAATCCACTGAGCCATATCAGCCAGGGCTGACTATTCAGTAAATTTTATATAATCTAAAGACAATGTCTAATCCCTTACTCTTTTCCCTTTCTGTTTATGTGCTCTTTAAAGATTAGGAAAGAGACTTAGAATTTGTTTTACCACTGCTAATGTGTCTTGATATACCAAAAATAATGGGTAAATTACTTTTTATTAAAAGTATGATTGAAATATATTTACTCAAACAGAATTTTTAAAAATATTTTTTATTGATTATGCTATTACAGTTGTTCCATTCCCCCTTCATTCCCCTCCACCCTGCACACCCTCTCCCACCCACATTCCCCCCCCTTTAGTTCATGTCCATATGTCATAAGTTCTTTAGCTTCTACGTTTCCCATACTATTCTTGCCATCTCCCTGTCTATTTTCTACCTACCATCTATGCTACTTATTCTCTGTACCTTTTCCCCTCTCTCCTCCTCCCGTTCCCCTGTTGCTAACCCTCCATGTGATCTCTATTTCTGTGGTTCTGTTCCTGTTCCAGTTGTTTGTTTAGTTTCTTTTTGTTTTAGGTGTGGTTCATAATTGTGAGTTTGCTGTCATTTTACTATACATGTTTTTTATCTTCTTTTTCTTAGATAAGCCTCTTTAACATTTCATAAAATAAGGGCTTGGTGATGATGAACTCCTTTAATTTGATCTTATCTGAGCAGCACTTTATCTGCCCTTCCATTCTAAATGAAAGCTTTGCTGGATAGAGTAGTCTGGGATGTAGGTCCTTGCCTTTCATGACTTGGAATACTTCTTTCCAGCCCCTTCTTGCCTGTAAGGTTTCTTTTGAGAAATCAGCTGACAGTCTGACACTCCTTTGTAGGTGTCTCCTTTGTATCTCCTTATCTCTTGCTGCTTCTAGGATTCTCTCCTTCATTTTTACCTTGGCTAATGTCCTCATTTTTTTTTGAATTCTTATTTCTTCATTCTTTTCTGGTCATTTGTTTTTTTTCTTCCTTCTGGTCCACTCCATTGATGTGAGACCTAGCTTTCATTCCATCACTATTGGTTCCCTGTGCCTTTTTCTTCATTTCACTTAGCATGGCCTTCATTTTTTTCATCTAATTTGTGACCAAAATCAAGCAGTTCTGTGAGCATCCTGATCACCGGAGCTTTGAACTGTGCATCTGATAGGTTGGCTATCTCTCGGTTGCTTAAAAGAACTGGTGTGGAGCTTTCAATTCTGTTTGAGCCATCTTTTTTTTCCCCCTCTCCTTTGGTCTGGTCGTGCCTGTTACGTGTGAGGGGCAGAGCCTTTGGTGTTCACCAGGGCAGGGCACCCCAGTTGCTGGGTTGTGAGGGAGGTTGTATGTGGGGGCAGGGTTTGGGAGGTAACAAGGGTGTTTGCTCTGTTCTCCGTCGGACCTCAGTCCCTTCCACTGCTTCCCCTGAGCAAACTGGGCCCCTTTGGTGCCAATTCCCATGTGGGTGGGCTTGTGCACTCTGTGGAACTTTCCAACCACCTTTCTTGTGAGGCTGGGAGTCTCTCCCTGCACCTCAACCCCTACAGGTGTTTTCAATCAGTGCCCCAAGGCTCTATTTCCCAGCGCTAGCATCCTGGGTTGCATGCAGTGCCTTGCTTCACAGTCACTGCCTCACTGGGTCTGCCGGCTGCCACCCCTCAGCTGGGGTTTGCCAGCTACCGCTTGCATGCGCAGGGTCCGCCTGCAGTTGTATTGCGTGCCCCAGATACTTTACGCACCAGGTCTCAACGCTCTCTGCTCTCCTTGCCGTAACCTGTGCCTGGCTGCTCGAGTACCTCCCCTCCTACTGGTCTGGATGAATGTGTCTATTTTAATTTCTTGGTTGTCCAACTTCCATTCAGATCAATTTTGTGTCAGTGCTGGTTGTTATTCTGTTTCTAAATTGTTGTCCCTATCTTACTTGTGCGAGGAGGCACAGTGTGTCTACCTATGCCTTCATCGTGCCCGGAAGTAGTTCAAATAGAATTTTTTAAAGGAAATAGAAGAATCATTTGTTCAGTGCAGTATTCTGTTCACATACAAACCTTTCTCTGTGTTTCTGACTCTTGTCAGAAACACAGAGAAACAACAAAATTATTTCTGATTCAGAAAGTCTCAGGTGGCACAAGAATTGCTGACCTAAAGATCCATGTAATATTATTCATGTGATATAATTAAAAAGTTACTTTCACAATTGGACTCTTGATTTTTTAATTTGAAGACAATGCTTTATCTATAAGGAATTACTCATAAAATTAAAATTAAATTCAAGTTTAATTGTGAATGAAATCTTACCAGCTTAATTTGACATTTGTTTGTGTGTTAGAGCTAATTTCAATACTAAGTAGTCTGCTAGTCAATTTTCCTCTACTGTTCTAATGGAAATATATTTCAAGTATTTTTTGATAGGTTTCTTTCTTTTGAGGGTTCAGCAGAAAAAAAAAACAAGATTGATTTTGGTTTAGATTATAGTATCTTCAACCTCTTTTCCAATCTTATTGAGGTATAATTGACATATAACTGCGTTTAGACTTAAATGATCTTATGACTTCCTCCTGCAGATGCTGTGCCACTTTTCCTGAGGCTTCTCCATTCACCCCATCAAAATGTCTGTGAGCAAGCAGTGTGGGCATTGGGAAATATCATAGGTTTGTCTTAAATTTGTAATAGTACCCCAACAATTGTTATCATATACTATTATAATAAAGACAACTTCTGGTAGTTGAAAAGGAAAAAATAGATTGTCTATTTTACTAGTTTTTATGAAACAGTTTATGCAAACTAAAGTTGTTTAAGTATAAACCAATAGTAATAAACAAAATGAACATTTTTTAAAAGATTTTATTTATTTTTAGAGAGAGGGGAAGGCAAGGAGAAAGAAAAAGGGAGAGAAACATCAATGTGTGGTTGCCTCTCCCACGCCCCCTACTCGAAACCTGGCCCATAACCCAGACATGTGCCCTGACCTAGAATGGAACCTATGACCTTTCGGTTCTCAGGCTGGAGCTTAATCCATTGAACCACACCAGCCAGGGCAAGAATTGTTTTTCAGCTTGAATATGCACGTCAACCAAACACAGAAATTGAGAAAACTATTTTCTAGCAGGAAAAAATCTGGGGTCTGAACTGTGTTATATTTCTTGATGTTAAAATTTATTTTTGCCATAGATTTGTTATTCTTGCATGGAAATATCTCCTTTTTATTTGATATACCTCCTTTTTATTACTCTTTTGGGGGGCCAAAATGGAAGGCAAGGGATGATCAGGGTTTCATAATTACAATTATTCTGCCTTTTCAGAAGGCAGAATTTGTCTGTAAACTTTTCTTGGCCACTGAAATACAGTATGGGGCAAACGTAGGTTTATAAAGTGAGTGTGCAAAACACAGAGTTTATTCTTGTAGTTTTATTTATTGTATTATCTTCCATATGACCAACTGTAAACCTACTTTTGCCCCACCCTGTATTGCTATCAGGAATACTGTCATTTGTGTATCCTAGGTTCCTCGCTCCTTTGCTTTTAATACCAAATTTTAGATTTAAAACTATTACTGCAACATCTTGGTCTTTGAGTTTTAGTTCTAGTGACATAAAATTAATTAGCATACATGGGTACAAAAAGAATAAGCTTTTTATCTACAAATATTATAGGGCAGGGAAAAGTGTTTTCATTTCCAGAATGCAATACTTCAACATGGCTTTCCTCCTGAAATTACAGTGACACTGTAGATAGAGAATTTAAATTTGGCAGTTGTCTAGTACAGTGATTTCCAAACTTGAACCTGTTATCGAATCCTGTTTATTCAAGAACAGAATCAAAAACACATCCTATACCTGCATATTTTCTATTTCAGTAGATCTGAGATGGAACCCAATCAGGTGTTGGTTCTCCCCACCCTATCCCTTTTTTTTTCTACTTAATTTTCTGAGTACATAGAGTAATTTATAGTTAATACTCTTTTAAATTTTTTATTTATTGACTTTTAGAGAGAGAGAGAGAGAAACATCAATTTGTTCCACTCATTTATGCATTTAGTGGTTGATTCTTTTATGTTCTTTTATATGCCCTTACCAGGGATCGAACCCACAACCTTGGCATATTGGGACAACATTCTAATCAACTGAGCTACTTGGCCAGGGACATAGTTAATACTCTCAATGCTCTGATATTGGTTCATCAGTATAAGTTCTACAAATATTTTATCTCTAATAATACTTGGTATATCTTTTTCTTACATGAAAATTTGTTAAACTGAGATTACCATTGAACAAAAATAAAAGCATCTGTTCTCTATTTGCAAAGTATTTTAAAGACCTCTTAGGCTTCTAGTGTTTAGATGGCATAAAAATATTTTATAGAATATGTGAATAATGTGCTAAAAATAACTGAGTACCTTATGTTACTTCTCTTGACTCAAGAGACCAAAAATGTGAACTTGGTTATTATCTACAACATTTGTATAAAACTAAATAGTGTAACTGGTTAAAATACAGAAATTAGCACATTGAACCCAGCACTTTGGTTTTTGAATATTTATTATCAACATACTTTGTTGACTTAACAAATCCTTCTTCCAACAGGTGATGGGCCACAGTGTAGAGATTATGTCATAAGTCTTGGAGTTGTGAAACCTTTACTTTCCTTCATAAGTCCATCTATTCCTATAACATTCTTAAGAAATGTTACTTGGGTTATGGTCAACTTATGTCGGCACAAAGACCCACCACCCCCAATGGAAACCATTCAGGAGGTAAACAAGTGTTTTTTATTTTTGCTTTTAAATTAAAGTAGGTATCATTATATGTATGTATTTATATACATATATTTTAAAATCCATATATTTCTCTCTTCAGATTCTTCCAGCTCTTTGTGTTTTAATTCATCACACAGATGTAAACGTGAGTAAAGGCTTCATATATTTTTATGTGTATGTGTTTGTATGTGTCTTAGGGCTCCCCCGTGACATACAGGTGAAAAGGTTACACTGGACATCATGTCAGTGTACTCTGTCAGATATTTCCGTTTCAAGAGCTATAATACATAGTTTGGCATTTCTGTATTTACTGTGTATACTTAACATCATTAAATGTAATTTCAGTGAAGAAGTCAAGCCTCTTATTTTGGTCTGAACAATAAAATATGTACACATATATCAATCAGTGTTGTAGAACTTACATTGAAAGCTCTTTGATTGTTCATCACCTTTTTATGGAAGTTCATTTTGATAGCCTGGCCAATAAGAGAACACATACACCAGGTATTTTTGTTTTTTGAAAGATTAAAAAAAGAAATATTCAGACTTTATGCATAACTTTATATTCATATACGTAACTCCAAACCATGGACATGATTTGCTCTTCAGTTTTGTTTTTACTCTATTCCTCCTTATATAGTGACCTTGGTAGTGGCTTCACGTGGTATAGAGATCATTCTTGAACTCCAGACAACAAGGAAAATAATCACTACAGACTAGATTTTAAACACAATAAATATGTCATACTCATTCTTACTAATGAAGATGGCAAAGGAAAAAGCAACTCAGGAAGTATGAATGAGGCAGAAAACTGCCCTGGCTGGTGTGGTTCCATGGATTGAGTGCCATCCTATGAACCAAGGGGTTGCTGGTTCCCAGTCAGGGTACAGGCCTGGGTTGCAGGCCAGATTCCCCAGTGCGAGCAGCAACCACATGTTGACATTTCTCTCCCTCTCTTTCTCCCTCCTTTTCCCTCTTTAAAAATAAAATAAAATCTTTTTTTTTTTTTTTTTAAAGTAGAGCTAGAAATACACACAATGGGTAAGGAAAATCACATGGATAAAATACATTGCGATTACAATCAGGAACTTGTGTGGTTCTTTAAAAACAGTTTGATATGATGGCCAGTGTTTGATAAGCTGTTCCATTCCTTTACAGTTTCTAGGGTAATACTGTTTTGCCAGGATCTCTCTAAAACATATAGAACAAATTACACTTAGAATTATACTACATCAAGCAGTGACATGATGTACAAAACTCATTAAATGAATGAGTTTTCTCTAATGATATTTTTTTTTAACTCCAGATAGTCTAGGACCTTTTAAAAAATGTAAGCAATTTTTGGTTTTGCCCTCCTTATAGCCAAAAGCTTTGATAAAATTATAAATGATATAAAAACAAAACTGGGCCCTGACACGTGTGGCTCAGGGAGTCACCTTGCAAAGTGAAAGGTTGTGGGTTCATTCCTGGTTGGGACCCAATCAGTATTTCTCTCTTTCTCTTTCTCCTTCCCACCCATTCTCTATAAATATGTAGATAGATACATACGTAATGCCTAGTTTATACATACGCATGAGGGGGGACCCTCAAAAAACTGGAATTACCTTCTGGAGAAGCAGCCCTCTTGTAGTACAGGCTTCCTGTGCTAGGTGAATATTCTGGGACCCCATCTGTATCAGTGTACCAGCTGGCATTGTGAGAGGCTGTGTTCAGTTTCAGTGAATGTTTTTTGAAGACACTTCCAATACATTTGCCCATTTCATGGTTGGTGATTTATGAGTGCACCTGCCCACACTGCACTACGTATTCAGTAGTTTTTGACCAAAAATGGCATAACCCCCATGCCCCACCCTCCCTATTCACTCAATCTTTCCCTGAGCAACTTTTTGTTTCCCTGTATGAAAAAAATTCTCAAAGGGAAATGTTTTGCTAATATGAAAGAAATGAAACAAAAAAAATGGCAGAAATACTAAAAGGTATCAAAGTTGACAAGTTCAAAAACTTTTGAGTAGTGGAAAAAATGTCTCCAAATGTGTATTGCATCAAATGGAAAGTACTTAGAAGGGACTGGAGTTTAAACATGGAAGAATAAATACACAACTTTTTATAAATTCTGGAAGTCTTTTGGAGTCCCCTTCATTCATAGATAGATAGATAGATATTTTTGTTTAAAAACAAAAAAACATGACACCCGGTCAAGATGGAGGCATAGATAGACACACTGTGCCTCCTTGCACAACCAAAAGAAGGACAACAATTTATAAACAAAAAACAACCAGAACTGACAGAAAATTGAACTGTATAGAAGTCAGACAACCAAGGAGTTAAACAAGACACACCCAGACCACTAGGAGGGGTGGAGATGGGCAGCTGGGCGGAGAGGACTCACTGGCGGACCGGGGCGGGGAAGGTGGCCACTGGCAGGCCTGGCGAGGCAGTGGGTTTGGAGTGGGCAGTCCCACATTTGTGCACAGATAAACTGGGAGGAACAAATGGGGAGCGAGACAGAACTCAAAACCCAGGGCCCCAGCTTGGGGAAATAAAGCCTCAAACCGCTGATTGTAAACACCTGTGGGGGTTGAGGTGCGAGGAGAGTCCCAGCCTCACAGGGGAGTTCGTTGAAGAAACCTACAGGGTCCCAGGACATAACACAAAACCCCTTATTCCCTGCTCCAGGGAATCAGCACCAGAAGGGCCCAGTTTGCTTGGGGGAAGCGGGGGAAGTGACTGAAAGCTGGCAGAGAGAGCAGCAAGCGCCATTGTTCCCTCTCAGACCCCTCCCCACATACAGCATCACAAAGCAACGACATGGGCTGCTCCATCCCTCACTACATAACAGGCACACTGAGACATAAAAAAAATGGTCAAAACAAAAGAACAGATCACAGCTCCAGAAAAAATACAACTAAGTGATGAAGATATAGCTAACCTATCAGATTCACAGTTCCAAACACTGGTAATCAGGATGCTCACAGAATTGGTTGAATTTTATCACAAATCAGATCAAAAAAATGAAGGCCACACTAAATGAAATAAAGAGAAATGTACAGGGAACCAATAGTGACGGGAAGGAAACTGGGACTCAAATCAACAGTGTGGACCAGAAGGAAGAAAAACATTCAAACAGAACAGAATGAAGAAACAAGAATTCAAAAAAATGAGGAGAGGCTTAGGAACTTCCAGGACATCTTTAAATGTTCCAACATCCGAATTACTGGACTGGGGTACCAGAAGAAGGGGAAGAGCAAGAAATTGAAAACTTATTTGAACAAATAATGAAGGAGAACTTCCCCAATCTGGCAAAGGAAATAGACTTCCAGGAAGTCCGGGAAGCTCAGAGACTCCCAAAGAGGTTAGACCCAAGAAAAAATACACCAGGACACATCAGAATTAACATTACCCAAGATTAAAAGAGAGAATCTTAGAAGCAGCAAGAGAAACGGAGACAGTTACCTACAAAGGAGTGTCCGTTAGACTATCAGCTGATTTCTCAAAAGAAACCTTACAGGCAAGAAGGGGCTGGAAAGAAGTATTCCAAGTCATGAAAGGCAAGGACCTACATCCAAGATTGCTCTGTCCATCAAAGCTTTCATTTAGAATGGAAGGGCAGATAAAGTGCTTCTCAGATAAGGTCAAGTTAAAGGAGTTCATCATCACCAAGCCCTTATTACATGAAATGTTAAAGGGACTTATCTAAGAAAAAGATAAATAGGAACAGTAAAAGGACAGCAAACTCACAGTTATTCACAACCACATCTAAAACAAAAGCAAACTAAGCAAACAACTAGAACAGGAACAGAACCACAGAAATGGAGATCACATGGAGGGTTAGCAACAGGGGAGTGGGAGGGGAGGAGAGGGGGAAAAGGTACAGAGAATAAGTAGCATGAATGGTAGGTAGAATATAGAGGGAGGTTAAGAATAGTAAAGGAAATGGAGAAACCAAAGACCTTATATGTATGACCTATGGACATGAACTAAAGGGAAATGTGGGTGGGAGGGGGTGTACAGGGCAGAGGGGAGTGAAGAGGAAAAAATGGCACAACTCTAACAGCATAATCAATAAAATATACTTAAAAAAAAAAGTCCACCCTGGCTGGCATAGCTCAGTGGATTGAGCCCATGCTGTGAACCAAAGGATTGCCAGTTCAATTCCCAGTTAGAGCACATGTCTGGGTTGCGGGCCAGGTCCCCAGTAAGGGGTATGAGAGAGGCAACCACACATTGATATTTCTCTCCCTCCCTCCCTTCCCCTGTCTAAAAATAAATAAATATAATCTTTATTTAAAAAACTCCCACAATCATAAATGAAACACAAGTTGGAGTTAGTAAACTTATATTGGAATATTAAATTTGTTACAAAAAATATATGTGAGATCCTGTCTGATTTAAATTATGATTTTGATGTGCACTATGTGTATGAATTTTGTCATTTGGTATTTTTGTTTTTACATTAGAAATATTTGCAGAACTTTCTTAAACTACCAAAAGGAGCAATAGCTAAGTGATAGATATATCCTCCTCCTAGGAGATTGTTCGATGTTTTAAACATAACATTGGTTTAGAATTTAAAAGGTTTCAGAGTTCTCTGGCTTGTCTTTTGACACAGAGTCCCTATTTCATAAAAGCTTAGCAAGTTCCAGGATCAATTTTTATTCCTGTGTCATAGTCAGTTAACTGAATTATATATGTGGTAGTTTAACAGTTGTCGTTCTTCCTTTTGGCCATAACCTCTAGTTAGGACTTAAATACAAAAAAGATGAAACAATGCCCAGATATAATTTGAAATTACAATTTTTTAGTATGTGTAGGGGCTATATCTCTTTTCCTTTTTTAACCTAGAACGTGTTTTTTTGTTTTTACTATTAATCGCACAGGTTGCTTTTAATGTTTTACTCTATAGCTGGGGGAGACTTCCACTGTTTGTAAAGTTGCCTCTGGTTTTATAAGGCAAAGAAAACTGATTGGGAAAGATGAAACTACTATAATCCCAATGCTGGAGTATTGGCTTTAGACATGCTGCATGGTAGTAATGATACTAGAGAACACCTTGAATATATATCCATCTAGCCCAGATGTTTGGAACCACTGTGTAATGCCAGCTACATGTATTCTTTCCAACTATATCTATTTACTACAATATCCTTAGACCTATTATCCTTCAGTCTGAGCATTTGGTAAAAAGAATGTCTTTTTCTTCTATTTTATGTGATATGTAGTACATTTGTATCTTAATGAATTAAGATTGGATACTAATCTGTGATAGGGATGAGTCATAATTAACCTGAACGTTCTGAATATGACCTAAAGATGTATTTAGTTGGTACAGACATTCAAAGATGATATTTAGTGTAACAAAGATCAAGATCCCAGTTAATTGAGGTGAAAGAAAAAGAAAGACCATAATAGGACAATCATAGATTAGTCTGTATGGTTAAGAATTATTAAAATGAGAAAATATTTTAAAGCTATTTGAACTTTTGTTTTATTTATTAGATATTGGTAGATACAGTCTGGGCCCTCTCTTACCTTACTGATGCTGGCAATGAACAGATACAGATGGTAATAGACTCTGGAATAGTCCCTCATTTGGTTCCTCTGCTCAGCCACCAGGAAGTTAAAGTTCAGGTGAGTTTATTATTGATGAAAATGTAAGTTTTTCTTATCACTAACTGCTTTAAGGTGACATTCAAAAACAGACAATGAAGTAGAATCAGGAGTTCAAAAATAAGTTCATGCATTTATGATCAATTGATTTTCAACAAGGGTGCCAAGAAAATTCAATGAGCAAAAGGAAGTCTATTCAACAAATAATGCTGAGACTACGGGATCTCCATATGTGAAAGAATGAAGTTGATGCCCTTAATGGGTGACCCAGTTGGTTAAAGTGTCATTCTGTACACTTCAGTACACTCAGAAGGTTGCAGGTTCAATTCCTGGTTGGAGCACATACCTAGGTTGCAGGTTTGATTCTGGTTGGGACATATACAGGAGGCAACCAGTCAATGTTCTCTCTCACATTGATGTGTTTTTCTCTCTCTTACTCTCTCTTCCCTCTCTAAACTCAGTAAATATACCCTTGGGTGAAATAGCTTAAAGTGGACCAAACGCCTAAATGTAAGCACTAAAAGTATAAACCTCTTAAAAGAAAAAAACATAGGTCTAAATCTTTATGACTTTTGATGATACAGTAGCTTCTTAGATATGACACTGCAAGCAACCAAGGAAAAAATTAGATAAGAAAACAGACTTGTATCTAAAATATAGAAACAACTCCTTCAACTCAACAATAAAAAGACAGAACATTTAAATACAATTTTCCCAAGAAGACATACAAATGGTCAATAAGCACATAAGAAGATGTTCAACATTATTAATCATTAAGAAAATTCAAATCAAAGCCACAGGAAATAATACTTCATATCCACCAGACTGGCTATAATTCAAAAAAACAGTAACAGGTGTTTGCAGGGATGTAGAGAAAGTGGAATCCTCATACACTGCTGATGGGATTTATAAAATGTTTCAGTCTCTTGGGAATAGAGTTTGACAGTAACTCAAAGTGTTAGACATAGAGTCATTATGTGACCCAGCAATTTCACTGTCAGGTATGTACTTAAGAAAACGGAAAACACGTTTTCAGATTACAAATGTGTACACAAATGTTCATAGCAGTATTATTCTTAATAGGCAAAAAATATAACAATCCAGATGTCCATCAACTAACAGATGGTTAAATAAAATAAGGAATGTCCATATAATACAAATTATTCAGCCACAAAAAGGAATAAAATACTGATATATGCTACAACATGGATGAACCTTAAAACCATTATGTTACATGAAAAAATCCAAATCAGAAGACCATCTACTGTTTTGTTCTAGTTATATGAAATGTCCAGAATCCACCAGAACAGGCATAGTGTGTGTGCTAGCAACCTGGGAGTGAAGGCAGTGGGAATTACTGCTCATGGATCCAGATATCCTCCTCTGGGGTGATGAAATGTTCTAGAATTAAATACTAGTTATGGTTGCACAACTTTAAATATACTAAGAACAACTAAATTTGTACACTTTGGAAGGATGAATTTTGTTATGTAAATTATATCTGCATTTTTAAAAAACCCTGTGTGGTTTATATTGCAGAAGGAAAAACTAGCCCCCCAAAAATCTTTAACTACTATAACTAAAGAAAATAATTGATAATTTAAATTCATGTGAATAATGAGATCTCATATATTAAGCAGATTCCTGCTTTCCTCCCAAAAGGCACTATGGCTTTGTTAACTTATTAAGGCACTAAACCTTAAATTTAAAGTATTACTGCCTTTCCCTGGCCAGGTAGCTTAGTTGCTTAGAGCGTTGTCCTGATACACCAAGGTTGTGGGTTCAGTACTTGGTCAGGGCACATACAAGAAGCAACCACTGAATGCATAAATAAGTGGGACAACAAATTGATGTGTTTTTTCCTCCTTCTCTTCCTTTCTCTCTCTAAAATCATTTAAAGTACCGTAATTTTTGGACTATAAGATGCACACACCCCAAATTTGGGAGGAATAATGGTTGTTAATGCTGCTATTGAGTTTTGCTTACATTTACATTGATGAAATGTTAGGTTATTAAACATTTTACCACAATTTTTTTGCTTCAAAAATTTTTTTCCTATTTTCCTCTAAAACTTGGGTGTGTCTTATGGTCCAAAAATATGGTACTGCCTTCTTTTATGGCCCTACTTACTATCTAAAATTATCCTTCTTATTTATTTATTTATTGGCTGACTGCTACAGTAATATAAGCTTCATAAGAGCTGGAGTTTGTGTCCTGTTCACTTTCTATTCACTCACCTGTTTCTAAGTCAGTGTCTAACACAGCTTGTTCAAAAAGAATTAGGTTGGCATGAATGAATGAACAAATGAATGAATGAATCTATCTTTCATAACCTAACATACATCTCTGATAAGAAGGAATATTTCATATAGAACACCATTTTCATTAAAGCTTTTTATGTTTCAGACTGCTGCTCTTCGAGCTGTGGGCAACATTGTCACTGGAACTGATGAACAAACACAAGTAGTTTTGAACTGTGATGCTCTGTCACATTTCCCAGCACTTCTGACACATCCCAAAGAGAAAATTAATAAAGTAAGTATTTTTAAATACTATTTAATAAAGACATAGAAAATGTCAGTAGTTTTCATTTGTAAAGTCAAGAACTCAGAACTATCTATAATACTATTAATATAAACTGTCATTTAGACATCAAGAGAATATATAATATTTTACTCCTCATAACATGGATTAGCATGATTTTCCATGAATAGATAAATAACAAATTGCAAATTTGGCTCTCTTGGAAATGATGATATAAAGATAATTGGGTGCTGAGTGTTATATGATTGGAAATTTTTCATATCTAAGTTAAGTAATCTAGGTTTAATATTTTATAGATAGTTAATAGAGTGTGTGCGTGTGTGTGTGTGTGTGCTTGTGGAGGCTATGGAAAGGGGGCACTGATTGGTGATGCTGATATTGGAGTGCATCTGAGGCTGTTGTAGACATACATGGGTTATTGATTACAACATTGCCAATGATTATAACCCAAGAACAGCTCACCTAAGTAGCCTAGCACCCTAAAATCTTTAACAGGTTCATTAAACATGGTCCTGTGATCTGATCCAAAAGAGCCTACTCCACACTAGCTAATACTAATAGTTTTTAGAGTAAAACTTGTTTACTAGTTTCTTAAAATAGAGAAAATGTTTTCCTTTAGTAAATTGATAAATCTGTTAATTTTGATAAATTAGAGTAATGTCCTGCATAGAATGTTGAGTGGATATTTTGCCTTGTTTCATGCTAATTATGGTTTCAGTGTGCATTTATTTATGAAACTTGCAAAAAAAGAAAAAAACTTGTAGTCTTGGCTACAGTAACCCTGTGCTGTGGTATAAAGGAAGCATGAAAAGATCATTAAGGTAGACCAGTAAAGGGATCAAACGTCTGCTGCTACTTTAGTTTTTGAGAGGCTTGGTGCAGTAAATGACTATTTACAAATAAGTATATTAATATAAACCACTATTTCATTTTTTCATGTCTCAATTACCATGGATAATTGAGATTTATCTACTTTGGCTAGGACTCAATCAGAATAGAGAGTAAAGCACATTATACGAAGGGGATGCTGAATCTTGTTTACAATAGTTTTAGGACTTGTATTTGTGTTACAGCCTTAGATTCCTTAGTTATTTGTTCAGCCAATTTTCTTTTGAGTCTTCGTGTTTACGGAAGTGTTTTCAAGAATTCTCTATAAGGATTAGTTCATTATGACTTGGACTGGAACAATTAGCAATTTGTCCACAGAAAATATGAAAAGGAATAGAGGAGTTGAGATTCCTAAAATTTTTATTATGGAATTCACTCCATAATAAAGTCATTTGGACATTGTAGTAAACATGTTTTGTCTTAGTTCAGATGCAAATTTTATTTTTTTAATGAGAAATATTGAAGGAGTCTTGTTCTACAGGAAGCAGTGTGGTTCCTCTCTAACATCACTGCAGGAAATCAGCAGCAGGTTCAGGCAGTAATTGATGCCAATCTTGTCCCGATGATAATACACCTTTTGGATAAGGTAAGAAAATCATCTTTTATATATCTGAGTAAAAGTAAAGGGATTTAAATTTAATAAATTATGTGAATATATACTTCTTATTTAATTAAAACCTATACAGTTGGCATAAATGCTACACCAAAGTGGTATTAATATTAAAACTTTCAAACCCAGTTTTTATATACAAGAAACATTTCTTTTTAGGAACCCTTGGCCCTTCTGTATCATTCTTTTATTAAAAATACTATTACCCTGGGATTTATTAAACATTCACATTATTACTACTGATTATACATGCTTAGGCATTGTGCTGAACACTTTAAATATATTACTTCATTTAATACTGTAGCTCTTTGAGCTTCATTTAATACTGTAGCTCTATGAAGTTTAGAATTATTCCCATTTGACAGATGAAGAAACTGTGGTATAGATAAATAAATTACCCAAGATTAAACTGCAAGTAAGTATGGTATTTAATCATATGCTGTATCATATTTATATTAGTGTTTGGGAAAGAGACATTTTAAAATGTCACAATCGCCGTGGCTGGTGTGGTTCATTTGGTTGGATCTTGGTCCTAGCCAAAGGGTTACGGGTTCAATTTCAGGTCAGGGCACATGTCTATATTGCTGCCCTGATCCTTCATCCGGGCTCCCATGATCCCCATCTGGGTGCTTATGCAAGGCAACTGATCAGTGTTTCTCACTCACCCTCACCCTCTCTCTCTAAAAAAAGCAATGAAAAAAAATGTTCTTGGGTGAGGATAAAATAATAAAATGTCATAATCACAGCATGGAGTTTTTTTTTGTTTGTTTTTGTTTTGGTTTTTTTTTTTCCCTGAACTTTGAGCTATAATTAAAGAGAAAAATATTTCTAACTTATTTTTCTCCATGTTTTTTATAAACTGGTAGTAGAAGCTACTTTCATATAAACTGGTAGATTAGGCTTAGTTTGTTAGGCAAGAATACTTAGGTACTACTCTGTACTTCCTAGTGACTCAGATCAGGAGACAAGTTCTATTTGTCATACTTCTAATGATACTAAGATTAATGAGTGAGCGTGGGTGTTTTTAGCCAATACTAACTGATTATTATAAAACTAGACAGCAGTCCTTCATGTAATGGTTTTTAGGCATTTATCAATGATCATTGCCTGGATCCCTTATTTTACTAGGAACTGCAAAATGCTGACTTTGTAATTTTGTCATTCTTTATGTGTTGCCATTATTCATCAGTATTCAGTGTATTAGCCATTATTCATCAGTAAAGAGCTTTTGCTTATCAGCTATTAGTTTACATGGGAACATTTTATATAGCAATGGCAAGGTAAATGATTTTTGCTCATTACTCAGTTTTCAGAATGACATGGTTTCCTAACATCCTCAAAAGGAGACGAAGGTGGAATTTCTAGTGTTATGAAATTATGGATATATATAAATAAATATAGATAGATAGATAGATATAGATATAGATGATATAGATACATACATGTTTTATAAGTTTTAATCCATTATAGTTCTCTCTGACGCCCAGGTTGTTCCCCGACTAATAGGAAGCTCTTAAATTTGGTGTCCGTGGTTTTTGTTTTTTTTTGTTTTGTTTTTTTTTGCATTACCTTGTAGTTTTTGAGAGCTTCCTTCATTTTGGATATATATGATTCTAAGACTTACCTTGTATATTTTCTGACCTAGACCTTGAATGAACTATTTCTCCTAGGTGTCCTGGCTCCTTTTTGTAGCAAATGGTATTTAAGGATATATTTCAGGTACTAAGAATGATCATTGCTATAAAGTTGTCATTGTTTCCAGGCCTGAGTGAACAAAATAGGTGATGGTGTATTTTTTTAGAAAGTGCAAAAGTATATTTTAATGTGAATATGAGAATTCATGAAAAATAAATCATGAATGAAAGGAAGCTATTGAATATTACTGGGTATAAGATAACAGTGATTTTATTTTCACTTTTTGGATTTTATATTTTCACTTCTCTTATGCTGGAAATATTCCTGAAAAAAATTGAGCATATATTGAGAAATATAATGTAAAAATCTATCAAAATAACAAGACCATACAACCAATAATGACATGACTACTCCATTTTTTTTATCTTCACCTGAGGACATGCTTATTGATTTTGATATTTTATTTTATTTTTTTTATTTATTTTTTTTTTTTAAGAAAAAGGGGAAGGGAGGGAGAAAAACATTGATGTGAGAAACACCAGTCTGTTGCCTCTTGTATGCAACCAACTGGTGACAGAACCCACAACCTAAGCATGTGCTGTAACTGGGAATCGAACCCACAGCCCTTCAGTTTATGGGACAATGCTCCAACCAACTCAGCCACACTGGCCAGGGCATGCCTACTTCATTTTTAAATTAGTTTTTGATTTGTTCCTCCATTGTTTCCTCTTTAAATATAAGCAGATGCTTATCCACATGCCTGTTCCCACCCTACCATATATTCTTCTTGTACTGTTTTTTAATTTTTATTTAATTTATTTTTAAAGAGGGAAAAGGAGGGAGAACGAAAGGGAGACAGATATGCAACAGAAACATCAATCGGTTGCCTCTTACACACCCCCAACCAGAGACCTGGCCTGCAACTCAGGCATGTGCCTTCACTGGGAAAATTGAACCAGTGACATTTCGTTCATAGGATGGAATTCAACCCAATGAGCCACACCAGCCAGGGGCAAAGGGTTCTCTTAATAAGTAAAAATTATATGTGCCTATAGAAAGGCAAGCAGTAAACCTGTGCAAATATTCAGTAGTTAAAAATTATTTCAAAAACCATCTTTCCAGTTTACTTTATATTGCAGTTTATATCCTTTGCTTTGCTGTTACAGGGAGATTTTGGCACTCAGAAAGAAGCTGCTTGGGCCATAAGTAACTTAACAATTAGTGGGAGGAAAGATCAGGTAAGTTCAGTTCTTTCTTATTTCTCAAAACTGATAAAATAACAGTACAGATCATTTAAGTTTTAGATTTTGGTAAATCATAATTGAAAATAATAGTAAGAAAACAGACAATCTATGATTTTTTTTAATATGAAAGTGTCACCTTGACTTCCTTTAGCAGTATTTCATAGATGAGAAGTGTTCCCTTCCCAACTTCTTGATCTACAAGAATTTTCTAATGCATGGTAAGATTGAGGACTTAAGTCAGGGTTGGGTTTTTCGGGGGGGGGGGTGGTTCTTTGTTTGGCAGGGGTTTTTTTTTTGGTTTTGGTTTTGCTTTTTTGCTTTATAACAGTATTAATTTTTTAAAAAGGACTTTTTGGGTTAATTGGACAGAATGAAATTGCCTCTCATATTTTCCTAACAAATGAACAAATATTTACTAGCCACTTGGTAAGCATTAAACTGAACCAAAAGGCTGGGAATACAAATTAGAGAACTGAGAGGTGCCTGGGGCATAAAATTTAGAGGCACTCACTCGCAAAGTATGCAGGTGATAGAGCTTAACATTGTACCTACTGGCAAAATAAAATGGGTTTTAAAGGTCCAAGAAAGATGTTTCACAGATAGTTACAAAGAGTGAATTTGGAGCTGATGAACAGTAAACTGATCATTATCACAAATAAACTGTAGACTGGTGGTAAGCAGTGAATCCACTTAAATGGGAATACTGAGCACAATATAAATGTACAGGGAAATAATAACAATATGAAAATGATAGAAAAATATTATGAAAATATTACAGGAGCAATAGAATAGTGAATTGAAGACGGCCAGGTATATGAGAATGCCAAATGTAATAATACTAAAGAATCCATGGATACTCTCACATTAAACAGTTGGTAGTTTTTTTAAAAAATATCCAGCCTTTTAAATGCTGTTATAATTTCTTAATCTTAAAGGGGAAAGGATCTTTGAAAGAAGCATTCCATATGGCAAAGTATTGTTTCATATGAAATTGAGTGATTCATTCACTTTCACTTAATTTTTTAATATATTTTATTGATTATGCTATTACAGTTATCCCATTTTTTTTTCTTCTTTTTATTCCCCTCCCACCAGCATTCTCTCCCCTCCCACTTTAGTTCATATCCATGGGTCATGCATATAAGTTCTTTGGTTTCCCCATTTCCTATACTACTCATAACCTCCCCCTGTCTTATTTTGTACCTACTATTTATGCTTTTTATTCTCTACCTTTTCTCCCATTCTCCCCTCTCCACTGATAACCCTCCATGTGATCTCCAGTTTCTGTGATTCTGTTTCTGGTCTAGTTGTTTGCTTTTTCTTTGTTTATGTTTTTGGTTTAGGTTCATTTGTTGATAGTTGTGAGTTTGTTATCATTTTACCATTCATAGTTTTGATCATCTTTTCTTAGATAAGTCCTCTTAACATTTCATATAATAAGGGCTTGGTGATGATGAACTCCTTTAACTTGACCTTATCTGAGAAGCACTTTATCTGCCATTCCATTCTAAATGATAGCTTTGCTGGACAGAATAATCTTGGATGTAGGTCCTTGTCTTTCATGACTTGGAATACTTCTTTCCAGTCCCTTCTTACCTGAATTTCTTTTGAGAAATCAGCTGATAGTCCTATGGGAACTCCTTTGTAGGCAACTCTCCTTTTTCTCTTGCTTTTAGGATTATCTCCTATCTTTAATCTTAGGTAATATAATTCTGATGTGCCTTGGTGTGTTCTTCCTTAGATCCAACTTCTTTGGGACTCTCTGAGCTTCCTGGGCTTCCTGAAAGTCTATTTCCTTTGCCAGATTAGGAAAGTTCTCCTTCATTATTTTTTGAAATCAGTTTTTCAGTTTCTTGCTCTTCCTGTTCTCCTTCTGGCACCCCTATGATTTGGTTGGAATGTTTAAAGTTTTCCTGTAGGTTCCTCAGCCTCTCTTCATTTTTTTAAATTTTTTTTAAAGATGTTATTTATGCCCTGGCTGATGTAGCTCAGTGGATTGAGCACGGGCTGCGAAACAAAGCATCACAGGTTCAATTCCCAGTCAGGGCACATGCCTGGGTTGCAGGCCATGACCCCCAGCAACTGCACATTGATGTTTCTCTCTCTCTCTCCCCCCTCTCCCTCCTTCTCCCTCCCCCCTTCCCTCTCTAAAAATAAATAACATCTTTAAAAAGAAAGATGTTATTTATTTCCCTTTAGAGAGAGAGGAAAGGAGGGAGAAAGAGAGGGAAAGAAACATCAGTGTGTAGTTGCTTCTTGCACACCCCCAACTGGGGCCCCAGCCTACCTCCCAGGCATGTGCCCTGACTGGGGATTGAACTGGTGACCTTTCAGTTTGCAGGCCAGCACTCAGTCCACTGAGCCACACCATGCAGGGCTGAATTCTTGTTTTTTCATTTTGTTCTGGTGGAATGTTCTTCTTCCTTCTGCTCCAAATCATTGATTGGAGTCCGGTTTCCTTCCAGTCACTGTTGGTTCCCTGTATATTTTTCTCTATTTCACTTTGCATAGCCTTCACTTTACCTTTACTTTGAGACCATACTCAACCATTTCTGAGAGCATCCTGATTACCAGTGTTTTGAACTCTGCATCTGATAGGTTGGCTATCTCTTCATCACTTAATTCTATTTTTGGAGCTTTGATATGTTCTTTCATTTGGGCCATGTTTTTTGTCTTGGTGTGCCTGTTACCTGGTAAGGGACTGAGACTTAGGTCTTCACCAGGGTGAGGTAACACATATTGCTACACTGTTGCACTGTATGTGGGGAGGGGTCTGAGAGGGAATAATGTCGCTTGGCTCTGGCTGGCTTTCAGTTACTTCCTCCACTACATACAAGCAAATTGGGCCTTTCTGATGCTGATTTCTGGGTGATGGGCTTGAGTATGTTTTAGAACCCTGTGGGTCTCCCCAGCAAACTCTCCTGTGAGGCCGGGAGTTTCTCCCACCACCGTAATTCTCACAGGTTTTTACAATTAAAGTTTGAGGCTTTATTTCTGCATGCTGGAACCCTGGATGGTGTGGTCTGTCTCACTTTCCAGTAGTTCCTCCTGGTTTATCTGCACACAAATGTGGGACCAGCAGGTCTTCCAGCTGCCACCTTGTCACCCTCCTACCAGCCTGAATGAATGTTTCTTCTTTAATTCCTTGGTTGTCAGAGTTCCATACAGTTCCATTTTCTGGCAGTTCTGGTTGTTTTTTGTTTTTAAGTTCATTGCTCCTCTTTTGTGTGAGGAGGCAAAATGTATCTGCCTACACCTCCATCTTGGCTAGAAGTTTTAACTTTTTCTAAGTTCAAGGAAAATAAACATAGTACATGAAAAGGAAGTTAGATTAATGTAGTCTAACTTAACATGCAAGAGATGAGGCCGTGTTTTCATACTTAGAATTTGAAAATCAAAATATTCCAGTGAGATAAGTACACAAAGTTCACCTACATTTATTATATCATTGTGTTTTTATTCTTCAGGTGGCCTACCTAATTCAACAAAATGTTATTCCACCTTTTTGCAACTTGCTGACTGTAAAAGATGCACAAGTTGTACAGGTAGTACTGGATGGGTTAAGTAATATATTAAAAATGGCTGAAGATGAGGCAGAAACCATAGCCAATCTTATAGAAGAATGTGGAGGTAAGTTTATTATAAGCTATTACTACATATTTTAATGTTCATTTTGTAACTATCTTTATTTTCTGACGAATACAGCACTTCTGTATTTTTTTTTGTCTTACATAATCAAGTAACAGAATAAAGTAAATACTATGTTCTATGTGTACAGTCCTTCTCAGCTTCATGCACATGCTCAGGTAACTGAATTGCTGCCATATATTGAACAGGCACTGTGCTAAGATACTTGGAAGTCAGTGGTAAGCAAGACACAGTTCCTGCCCTCAAGGCATGTAGTCTAGTCATACAGATAAATATGAACTGATTTAATGTGCTAATTACCCTAATAGAAATGCACAACAAAATGAAATATGTAATCCATCCTGGAAGAAGCAGGAAGTCACACCTGAGCTGGATTTTGAGAGATGAATAAGGATTAATAAAGTAAAAAGGGATGAAAGGTGTTCCAGGCAGATATAACACCATGAGCAAAGTCTGAGGTGAGAAATAGCATTCAGCAAATTGTAAGTAGTTCATTATTGCTGAATCACAGAATATGGGGTAGAAACTGCCAAAAGGATGAGGCTGAGACAGGGCCAGTAAGCAGGTCCCTGTACTCTTACAAGCTTTTTAGCATGATGGATACAGTTATACCTTGGTACTCGTCAGTTTCAGAACTGGTCAAATCCTTACTCACTGCATTTTGACAAGAAAAGAATATTTCAGCATTCAGCTCTTGCTCGGGACTCATTGTGCTTGTTCGAGACTCATTACACTTGCTAGAACTGGTATAAGTCATGGCGCCGCAACATGGCTGTGATACGTGGCTGTGTATCGAGCCACCTGGAATATAAGCAACACCTCTTAGCTTTCAACTCTTTGAATTAACAAGTACACAGAACATGGAAGTCTTCAATGTGGCTGTGAAACAAATTGTAAATGTTGACCTGAATAAACATAAAACTAAAGGTATTTCTGACAGAAGTTGAGAAGTAAATGAAGGGAAGCATAATGATAGAAATAGGAGAACTATATCTTCAACTTAGTAGAGGAGTCCAGAGACTTGAAAATTACTAAGAAATAGTAATTTTAAAGTTACTAAAATGACAAATAAAATTTAAAAAGAAACCATGTATAATATCAAGTTAGGAACAGAAGGTGGAGAATAGTGTTAGGGAATTAATTGGGAAATGAGTACCGGAAAATTAAAAACAAGCATAGTTTAAAAATATTTTACTGCTTTTGCTATTTTTACCCATGGAAAACATTTTAATTATTAAAAATGTATTTTTATGTATTAAAATGAAAATATAGATCTTGAGCATTGCCTACCCCATTGGAGGTGAGGTCCAGGAATCCCAATGGATTTTGACATAGGGTATGACAAGCCATTGGAAGATTTTGTTTGGTAAGCCATTAGTATGTTTAGATGGAGCGTGCTTACCAGAGGAATGGGACCTGCTAGAGACAGAAAACTGGTTAGGAAAGTATATAGTAGTTGGGCCACAGTAAATGAGGGCAGTAATAATGGAGACAAAGGGATCATCACAAGATTCAAGAAGTGGATAGAGCCCTGACTGGCATGGCCCAGTGGCTTGAGCGCCAACCTGCAGACCAAAGGGCTGCAGGTTCTATTCCCAGTTCAGGGCACATGCCTGGATTTCAGACCAGGTCCCCAGAAGGGGGCACACAAGAGGCAACCACACATTGATGTTCCTCTCCCTCTTTCTCTTTCCCTTCCCATCTCTCTAAAAATAAATAAAATCTTTTTTTAAAAAAATGGGTGGAGTTTGAGGCTTTTAAGATTTAATTGTAGAGTATTGAGGGAAGGGGAACTTAGGCTTTCTCTCAGACTTCAAGCTGTTGTCATCAAGTAAGAATACAGTAGAACAAACAGTTTAAATGCATAAAGGCAAATAACAAATTGTGTTTAAGATGGTTCAGCCTTTTTTTTATACAGAGATTTTAAGATTTATTCTTAACAATTTCCAAATGCACAAAACAGGATTAGTAACTAACTGCAGTCACTGTACATAATACCATATGACTGATTTTTTTTAATTGTTGTTCAAGTACAATTTTCTGCCCTTTACCCCCATCCCAGCCCAACCCTCCAGACAGTTCAGCTTTCAGGTAACTATGAAACATCCTGGTGAAATTATCATGCAGACATGTAAATTTTATGCATCTGAAGCTCAGAAAAGAAATGAAACTTTAGATTTACAGGTCTCGGCCTATATTAGTAGCTCAATTTTTTAATAAAAGGGTCCCATAAAGAGAGTGTGTATAGAGTGAGAAATGAGCCAAAACAACTCACCTCTTAAGGAGTAGAGGAAGGAAGAACACAAGTGAAAAGGAAATTTCATTACTTTTCAGAGACCTTAAAATTGCAACTCCTAAAAGGCAAAACCAGATCTAATTTTTAAGATTCACCTTTAGAATAAATTCCCCAACATTGTAGATTTGCAATTCAATAATTGGATTATGTGGTCCCAAGATTATTATGCCCTTTTTGCCATTACTTTTTAAATATTACCTTATTTCACTTCACAAAATCTCTTGCAGGACTGGAGAAAATCGAACAACTACAAAATCATGAAAATGAAGACATCTACAAATTGGCCTATGAGATCATCGATCAGTTCTTCTCTACAGATGATGTATTTGATAACTTTATAGTTTTTTTAGTTTTCTTAATAAATACAAGTCTGGATGAAATAATAAAAGCTAGAACATGCATGTATGTTTTGAGGGGAGTGGAATTAAAATAGGTAAATGACAGTAAGGTCACTTATTTCAGAAACATAATAATTTCAACATTTAAAAGTCCCTTGGAGCAAGAAAGTTAAGAATTTTTTTTACACTGGAGAAGTTAGGCTTTATTTTTTTTTTTTGATGTGTCTATAATTATATATTTTATATTGTTACTAACATAATGTATTTATAAACAAAACAGTGATACAAGTATGACCTGTGACGAATCCTTTGTGACGATAATTAGTTAATCCACTATTGACTATATTCTCACTGTTATTTTTAGTGGTGACCAAAACTAAATATGAAGATAGATAAATCTAAAATAATAAATCATCAAAAAAGATAAGTTTCCATATAATATAAGGTGTAGTATATAGAAGTCTTCAGATTTGTTAGTATATGGTAATGGAATTTAAAGTATTAACTTATTTTTAGTATTGCCTTTTTGGAAAGTAAGTCAATGATTAAAGCAGTTGTTCCTTAGAAAATTATAATGATTGGGTTTAGCCACCAGTGAATTTCTTGAATGATTTTCTCAACTTTTTAACAAATAACTCATAGCACAAACTTTTCCACATTATCAAAAAGGAGTAGAATATTATCAAACATTTTTTAAGCATACATTATCAGAACATTGACCTGACAAGGACAGTACCAGTCATGAGCCACATAACAACATTTTGGTCAGTGATGGACCATATACATGACAGTGGTCCCATAAGATTATAATGATGAAGCAGAAAACTTCATATTGCCTAGTTATGTCACAGACATTGTAATGTTGTACCCCATTACATTACTCAAGTGGAGTTGAGGGCATGAAAGAGACAACTGATTGATGCTTCTTTTTCTCTCCTTCTCCCTCCCTTCTCCTCTCTCTAAAAATAAATAAACTCTTTTTTAAAAATTGGGGGGAAATTATAGCACATGCAATTACAGTATTAGGCTATTCCATCTAGGTTTGTGTTAGTACACTTCATGATGTTTGCACAGCAGTGAAATCACCTAACAATACATTTCTCAGGATGTATCCCCATTGTTAATTTGATGCATGTCTGTATTGAAAAAGAAAATTGTACAATGTACTTACATAGGGTCTGGCACAAATAACACCACTTTTTAATTACAAAATCATAAGCATGTAATTATGTAACGACAGTATCACTCAAGCACACCATACGACATTTTAGGTGAAATGTTCAAATTAAAACTATATGTTATTACCCTACCAACCACATTCAAGCAGGCCTTACTTCTGCCGGACACTGTAGATGATTAAACTATTTAGATATCAGGTCCTTTAGATGATCAAGTCCCATTTAGAATATGATACCAGTTAAATAAATCAAAAATAAAATCCAGAAAAGACATACTCTTTTAAGGGTAGTTTTTATTACATGTCTTTTAAAGTTGTATTTTTGAAAGTCCTAATTTGCAATTAGATACACACAAGGCCTTACGATTTCTAATACTTCAATATGCAGTTCTTTATTATTCTCTTACATTGTGAAAATAATTAAGATGATATGCACATTTATTGGAACTTCACTATAGGCTCATAATTGTGTGTTAACTTCAAAAAAGAATCTTTAGATATAAAGCATATAGAGTATTTATTCGTTATTAGCTGTTATTTAAGCCTAACTGCTATTAAAAATTAATCAAGATTACACTTATTCTAAAAGTGGTGGCATATTTTTTTATGTCATCAACTATTTTGTATTTGCCCAGATATATGGGAAATTATAGTATCTTCTCAGTTTGAGGTATATGATCCTCTTTATTACATCTATTTCATACTTAAAAAGATATTTGTCTTGCATATTCTCAAGTTTCTTCTCATTTTGTTGTCCTCGAGAAAAAGTTTTTACAAAATGTTTTAGCTTTCTAAAGAGATGATAGGACAGTTGATGCTTATTTCTCTCATACCTTTTTAGGGGAAATGGGAACATTACTATAATGCTGTTTATGTATACTGTAAAACTAATCCTCGTTTTTCTTCTTTTTCCCTATAGATTGATGAAGATGCTAGCCTTGTTCCAGAGGCAATACAAGGTGGAACATTTGGTTTCAATTCATCTGCCAATGTACCAACAGAAGGGTTCCAGTTTTAGAAAGATGTTGTGGAAGTTAGGTACAATGCAGCACTGAGATACATATATATACACATATATATAAAAAGGTTTGATCCATCAAGCTTGGCTCATGGGATCTGCTGCTGCATTAAATCGGGAAAGAAAATGTGAAGATTTCATTTGGAATCACAGAAAATGCCCAAATGAAGTCAAGATGGCGAGTGGGTGCGAGTGAGAATGAGTGGCAAAATGTAATGAAAACTTTACATGAGTGCTTATTTAGGCTGATCAAAGTAAAAAGGGCTACAGGTCACAGAACTTCAGTGCCTGAGAAGGAACATTGACTTACTCTATATCAATTGAGGGGAAAGTGCAGTACCTGTCATCTTCGAGCCTTGTAAGCATAAAAGAGAATAGGACGCCCATATAAGTCAAAGGAAAATGAGCCCAGGCCTTGCTATGAAGCAGTGTGTGAATGGACAGTGTTGAATGAGTGGCTCAAAGAGAGAGAGCCAGGTTCATCTTTCAAATCTAGGGCTCTTCACTCACGAAGCAGACTCCTAGTCCTGGAGTGACTGTGTATGAGAGTATGGTTGTGGTGCTGTATGTGAATGCATGCAAGCTTGATTCGCCTTCAGGGGGCTGGTAACAAACCTAGTAAATCATCAAAATGAGATCATAAGTGTTAATGTACACTGGACATGAAAACAAAGACCGGTTTAGCAGCAGACATTGGTTTACTCTGCAGCCTGTGTTTTCTATTCCCCCTTCCCTTCTCCTACCCCGCTCCTTTAAAGTTTTTATTTACTTTACCTACTTGGCTTTTTAGTTGCTTCTCAAGTCAGAAAACTTTTCAGGAAGGTTTCCCTGTGCATTTGCACCAGATGAATGTTTGATGCTATGAAAAGTTTTCCATATCATCAAAACTAATTTGTGTAGATTTTTGCATGGAAAAAAAATCATAAATTTCCCTCAAAATAGACTGTGTTGCAGTACACAAGTTGCCATAATAGTATAAACAGTAAAATGTGCTTTAAAAAGCCATCCTTTTCATTTTCAGAGACAACATAAAGATCTTTGCATGAGGTAAATCTACAACATAGTTCATTTTTAGATTTTGTTGAGTCCTGTAAAGAAGAAGAAAAGAGTTTCAGTTGTGGTAGAATACCGTGCTGTGTTTAAATGTTACTTGTTTTCAAACTTTGTTTTCTATGAAAATGATATGGAAACTTCTAAAATGAAATTTGGTGCATATGTACTGCTGAATAAAGACTGATGAAGAGGTTTGAATAGATGTACAAATCAAGTAATGGTTTGAACACCTTTAATAATATGCCTAATCTGTTCAATTGTTTTAGAATCTTTTTATCTTAGATGTAGGCAGCCATGAACAATCTATTTTGAGCCACTTTAGGGAGAAAACTTTGTATTTTTAAAACTTGCATAAAAGTTATGCAAGTGGTTTTTATAAATTGGAATAATACCTCAGTTTTGAGGTTATGCACACTAAATTAAATGTGACATAAATTAATTTGTACAAAAAGAACTCTTTATAAGGTGGCTCATTGTAGGAAATCCTGTGCCTTCCCCTTTGAGCACAAGTGTTGCATGAACAACAGTTTGCTATAAGAAACATACCAGATTAGCCACCATTAGCATCTATCTATACTTTGTGTTTAAAAATCAACTGGTAAATCTGAAACACTGTAGAATGGATAAAAATTATTTTGTGATCATAACTCTTTGTTGAACTAGAGTATTTTTGCAGCATTCCTTGTCATCAGAAACATGGTTAAAGTTTAAAACTAGAAGCAGCAGAAAACTAGCTTGTAAAATTTATCCAAGTAGAGTGCAGGCTAGGCTGTCTTGGGGAAATAAACATTAAACTTAAGCAATGTTTTACATGGGGTGTGTGTGTGTGTGCTGTGTGGATTTCTTACACATATTAATGCAAAGTTAGTATAACTCAGTGGGTTTTATTAGCTTGTCTTTCTAAGCTTTTGACCCAGAACCAACATAACAGAACATATTTTTTCAGTTCTATAATTTCAATATAGACATATTACTGTTCTAAACCACTGAATTTGTTCAGGTGACAACCAACTATGCTGTGCTTTCTCCCTGTCCAAACGAAGATTTTGGCCTTTCTTCATTCTTCCAGCAAAATGGGCTGAGAGAGAGAATTTGAGCTATATTTTAAGTATTACTGTAACTTCAACATATAGTTCCAAATGATAGATTGCATACAAAGTGTGGGTTTTATAGAAGGTTTAAGTTACCTCAAGGTGAATATAATAATACTTTGCATAATTCAAGGCTTTTAGTAAACAAAAATTTGGTTCAAAGTAAGCTGATGAAGTTATAGTAGGCCAAATGATTTTATAGAATACTTATCCTTATATACAAACTAGTTGTAGATGATTTTAACATCTCTGAGTACAAGGGCTACCTGATGGTCTAAATCGGGTGTCAGACTCATTTTCACCGGGGGCCACATCAGCCTTGGGGTTGCCTTCAAAGGGCCGAATATAATTTTAGGACTGGAGAAATGTAACTACTCCTTAACAGTTAAGTGAGAGTTCGGCGCTGCCACCAGGCAGAAACAAGGTGCCAGGCCGGTTAAAACGAGGTGGGGGGCTGGATTTGGCCCTCAGGCCTTGTGTTTGCCACCTGTGGTCTAAATATTTTGTTTCTGTCCATGGTCGCATACAAGACATGGATATTCCAATAGAATTGTAGGAACTTTACCTCGTCTGAAGTTGTTTCAGCACAGTTAACCATTCGCCACAGTCAGTGATCTAGGAACCTGATTGATTTTTAACATAGAGCATTATTTGTGATGGGGGTGGGATGAAATAACAAGCCTTGGATAAGCTTAATGTTCTTGGTTTCTCGTGTCTTAAACTGCCTTTTTGGAGCATTGAGCCCTTCTCAAGTGCTGTGAAAATAACAGTGTTGTATTACAGGTACATGAGTAGCCCTGGTCTAAAATATATTTTTTAAAGATATTTTTTCCTTTCTATTGTGTGTCACAGTGGGTTTAGTGTTTTCCACATTACTCTGAACCAAACCCAGAGCATTCCTATAATTGAAACTGTTGACTACTAAAAATACATCTGGAAGAGTTTTTCACGTCTAGTTTGGGCTTACCCTGTTTCTTTGTAAAGTGACTGGGTATTGTAACAGTAATGTAATTTCCAGAACACCCTATTTGAATTCTCCATTGCCTCAGTTCACTCAAGAAAAGAGAAATTAAGCTAAGCTTTGGCTTTAGAGAGTGAGGTAGTATCTGTTGCTGTCTTAACAAATTACAGTTTAAGACAACACAGATTTATTATTTCAGTTTCTGTGGGTCCAGGTACAGCTTAGCTAGTTCCTGTTTTCAGGATCTCAAGGCCACAGTCGGTTTCAACCAGAGCCAGAACCTCACGTGAAGCTCGTGTCCTCTTCCATCCTTCTATGGCAGAATTCATTTCCTTGCAGCTTTAGAACTCATGGCAGCTTGCTTCTTCAAGACCTGCAGGAGAATCTGCTTTTAGGGAAGGCCTGGAGCCTTCTAAAAGACTCACCTGGTTAAGTCAGGCTCAGCAGAGATGACCTCCCTTTTGATTAACTCAAAGTCAAACTGGTTAGTACTTTAATTGCACCTGCAAAACCCCTTCCCCTTTGCCCTGTCCTGTAAACTAATCACAAGGCGATATCTGTTATATTCACAGATTCTTCACTTGAGGGAAGGGGATTAAAAAGGTAAAGTACACTAGGGAAGCTTGGAAGTGAGTCATCTTGAGTTCTACCTACCACAAGGGAATAACATTTAGATCTGGAGCAATTACAAAGCGATCAGGTAATTACAAGTATATTTTTAGATCAAGGTCACCTGTGAGAATCTAATGGCAATTAGAATTTTAGGGGGTCTATAGGTGTACATGAATTTCAGAGCATGAATGAATGGTCTTTACTAACCCTTTCAGATGATAAATTGTCAAGAGGTGAATTAACTATCAGGGTCACATACTGAGGGTCAGGTAAGACCCAGATCCTCACCTTCCATACCATTGGAAGCTGTGCTTCCAATTACTATTCAAAAAATTCACTTAAATTTGTGAACCAATGCAGAAAAGTTTACACAGCTTTTCCTATCTGTATTTTGTGGAATGGCTTACACTAATTGTTGCAGAAATGTGTCATTCAAGTTTTGTTGTTACAGGCATACCTCGGAGATATTGCAGGGTTTGGCTCCAGACCACCGCAATAAAGTGAATCTAGTTTTTTTTGTTTCCTGGTGCATATGTTTTACACTATACTATAGTCTGTTAAGTGTACAATAACACTGTCTAAAAAAAATGTATATATCCTAGTTTAAAAATACTTTATTGCTAGGAAATGCTAACTTTTCTAAGCCTTCAGTAAGTCAATTTTTTTTGCTGGTGGAGGGTCTTACCTTTAATTTGTAACAAATGCAGCATCTGCAATGTGCAATAAAGCTAAGCACAATAAAACGAGGTATGCCTGTATTTTATTTCCTTTTGAGTTTTCAAAATTGAAATCTTCCATCATAGATAGTAAGAAGGTGAGCTTTAAATAAGCAGGCTAACTTAGCTTGAATCAAAAGCAGTTACCAATTGTTAATTTCTCAGTTTTAGTGTATTATTTACCTCATAAGCATAAAAATATAATTAGAATCCATTATTGACTATTTTGAAGGTTTGTATCTGGTGTGTTTCTGTACCGTCTTTACTCATCTGTAACCCAATAATTTAATACAATTAGGAGGGAAAGATTTGCCCAGACATTGTTCTAATATTTCCGAACACTACTAGCAAATCCATGCCTAACAATTTGATTATTTTGAACATTTAAAGGAGAAAATGACCTTTTTAATCAGCACATCAATGAAGTATAAAAAAGTTACGCATAGATGCCTTTAAGTAAAATCAAGGTTCATACCGATATTCTTGTCATCTGAATTCCTAAATTAAAGGAAGGTGGAAATTTGTAAAGTCTGGATTCCGGTGTGATCAGAAGTAACTGGACTATAGTGTCACATTGCATATTAATTAACATGTCAATGTACAGAGGAGATAGATTAACATTTTTTCCCTAAGACTTAACCTAGCAGTTCCATTAATTTTGAATATTCTTTTAAATTCAGGCCCTTTGGGTGAAAAATTTGGTTCAGGGTGTCCATTTCAATCTCTACTACTTATAGAGTTGACAGGTGAGTGTGAAGAAAAGGAAATACTGCACGACCTGTCTTTTCTTACCTACTGTATCTTACCTCTGATTTGTGTAGCTGATGTATTCCTTGTTACTCCCTAACATTGCTCAAAATTTCCTCATCTGTTTTTATTCTTCATATAGCTGTTTAAAATGGCTCAATAAGCTGCTTAAATCTTCATGCTGTTTTGTGGTGCTGTGAATCTCCAGTTCCCTGCCATCTAGATAATTCATTCAGCATCCTGGTCCCTCCATTCCTCTGATTTCTGGGCCTCATGAGCCACTTTTCCCCCATCATTTTGACTGTTTTTAGGTACTGTCAGTGCCAGTGTCCAACTCTTGGATTTGGTTTAGGAGATTATTTCTCTTTTAAAAAAGAAAAAAACCTCTGCCATATTTTGGCTAATTGGGCTGGGCAGGAATCAACATAACCTTATTCTCTCCTACCATATTCTCATTTCTTAGGGGTAGTCCCCCTGTTCAACTCACTAACATTAAACTTCTGTTTCCTATTACCTGTTATGGGTATGTCCAACTTCCAACCCTTTGTCCTTGATAGTATATTTCCTCCATAAAGTTATACTTTCTGCCTTAAATCTAGTAGTTCCCAGTGCAGTCTTTAAGGTGCCCCACTTGTGTAAGTATGCAATTAGTGCAGAGAAACGTTTTGTTTTGTTTTATTTTTTAATTTTTTTTAAAGATTTTATTTATTTTTAGAGAGGGAAAGGGGGGAGGGAGGGAGAGAGAGAGAGAGAAACATCAATGTGCGGTTGCTGGGGGTTATGGCCTGCAACCCAGGTATGTACCCTGGCTGGGAATTGAACCTGGGACACTTTGGTTCCCAGCCCGTGCTCAATCCACTGAGCTATGCCAGCCAGGGCTCAGAGAAACGTTTTTACCTTTTTCTTCGAACTTGTTTAGGGTGGTTATAGGACACCTGTTAAGGTTCCTGGGTTTTCCAGTCTGGTGATCAGAAGTGCTCAAGAATACTGAAAAGTTTGCTTCTCTGTTAATTTCTATCCTCATATTCCTCGTTCTGCAATTTTCTTCAGCGGCAGAGTAAGGAAAGAGGCAGCAGGTGGAATTTTTCTTGGCTTCACTCTGTCCCTTGAATATTCCAGGTATTTGTCTCCGTCAGGGAGCTCAATATATCCAGTACTGTCTACTACCATTGCCATCCACATTACCACTGATTTTGCAGTGTATGTTTTACATTTATGGTAACTTTTCGATCTGTGGAGTCTGTTCAGTCATTACTCTGTCACATCTGCATTTCTCCATCTTTTCATGAGATTGTAAGCTCCTTAAGGGCAAGGTCAGCATATAAACAAAGCGCTGTGAACCCCAAGAATGTACCCTGAGTTCTGTAGGCCCTTAGTAAAGGTTTGCAATAATGATGCAATTTCTGAGATGAACTTATTCTATTTCTGAAAAGTCTTCCTTCAATTTAGAAGTTATTAATTTGCCCCATTGTTTAGAATGTTTTCTATAAGAAGGGAAGACACTTCATCCCTTGCCAGATGAAGGCTCATTTCTTTATTTCCTTTTTTTTTAACTTGATATTCTGGTGCCCATAAGATATTGAAGTGAGTTCTGATGTGTTTTTCAAATACCAATTTTATATACTATTAGGCAGATGTAACTTAGTCCTATTGATGTTGATTTTTGAAATACTCATTGAAATA